AAAAAAAACTAGGGCGATCATTGCAAAAACAGCCACTTTTTTTCAATTGAGTTAAATTAAAAATTACTGCATCAAACTTCCTAAAAAATAATGATTAAAAAATAATAAAGGAACAATAACTGCAAAACAGTATTTTAAGCTAATTTGTTATCCAATGAATAATAAATTAGCTTGAAATATTGATTTGAAATTATTGCTCTTTTATTATTTTTAATAGATACATTTTATTGTTTTTATAAACAAAATATTTAATTGCATACAAGTAAATACATGCTTGTAATTGTAAGTGCAATGTCTTTATATTTTTCATATTAAACTAAAACTCCTAGTAAATACCAACTCAATAAATAATTTAAAATATTTATTTTATTTATTTTTAATTTATTATTAAAATAATTGTTAGTATTAACTATATTGTTATTATAAATTATATATATTAGAATTATATTGTTACTTTTATGTTAATTAATTACTTTTTTAAACATTTTTAAAAACAGTCTTTTATCTGCTCCCATAAAACTTTAGTATATTTCAACATTTTGACCCAAACAAGGTCTTCTGTTTTTTTAACTAATTAACATAACATAATATTATTTATTTTGTATTTTTTTGTATTTTTTTGACCGAGCACCTGTGCTAGTTATGTTGGGATGTGTGCACATTACTTTAAATTGAAATTAATTCATTTAAGATACTGAGTTAAGGTGATTCTGTATTTCTCACATTCAAGGTCTGAGACGTTGTGGCTTGTGAGTGAGTGTGTGTGTGTGTGTGTGTGTTTTTGTTCACAGAACGGCTTTGCTGTGGTACGACCTCCAGGACATCACGCTGAGGAGAGCACTCCCATGTATGTCCTTACTGTCTCTCTGTGATCTCAAAATAAACTCCACAGCTGATATCAGCATCACTTTAAACACACACAGCATCAGAAATCAGTGTGATACACACTATCCTCTCACATAAATGAATTCCAGCAGTGCAGTGGGCCGGTTGGGCTTCCAGCACTCACGCTGGCTTCAGTACAGTCATGCAAATTATCGGTGAGGTGAATACAGCACAGTAGGCCAACGCTATCTACACACTGACTCACGCCAGTTTTCTTTGGAAGGACTAGCATGTGTTAGAAACTGCGTGTTTTGGGAGTAAAGTAGAGTTTGGAGTGTCTTTTCTGTATCCAACAATGAAAGGGATTCCTATAGCTCGACTGGAAACACTTTACTTGAAGGGGTGTGCATAAGACTGACATGGCACCTTCATAATCATGACATGACGCATGTCATGAATATGAAGGAGGTTTTATGCATGTTTATGACAACTGTCATTAAGTGTCATTCGCTCAGTTATGTAATTTTTAATGCAAAGATGACATTGTTTGAGATGTCTTTGTTATGGGCTATGGTTAGGGGTAAGGGTAGGGGTAGGGTT